CACCTTCTTGTACTCTTCCGAGCTTTTCAACCGTGGTTTCTCTTGGAGGATCCTGTTCTGCACTGTTTCTGTCCTGAGAATCAGCTTGATCGGTCGGTTTCTCCCCTTCAAGTACCCCCTATTCTCTGAAAATTTACAATCTCATCCATGTCTTCTCCCCCTATTTCCGTGATGATTTTCTCAATCTCCTTTCTTTCTTCCTGCCGTCTTTCAGTGTGTGTCCTTTCCTCTCTCTCCCAAAGCCCATGGATAAACACTGATTTTGCCCTTTCCTCCTCCCCTTGCCTCTCCCTCTGTGACTCTGGTTCCTGTCTGTATGTGGTCATTTCTCCCCTTGATTTTTCCATTGGCTCTTGGTAGCATGGTTGTGCCTCAGCATTCGACCTATCTCCCTCTCCATCTGCACCCATCTGCTCTTCCCTTCCACTCCCTGGGCCCCTTTTTTGCAGGCTGATATGACCTTAGCATAATTCATATCTCCTTCCTTCCTGTTCAGCCTCTCAGCTTCATATGGTGTGTCTTCTCTGGTCACTGCCCCTGAGACTTGCTTCAGCCTGTTTACCTCAAATTCTAGGACCTTAACCCTGGCTACTGCAGTTTCGACTTGTGCCTCCCAATTCTTCGTCTCCTCTCCAACCTCTTTTCCCATTTCACAGAGAGCTCTTTCTCCAATTTTTTCAGAAAGCTCTCCTAATTTTCTCTCCCATTCTTGCTCTATCCTTTTCCACTGCTCCTCCATCCATTCCTCCCTACCAGTACCATTGTCATCTGATCCCTGATTCCTGCGAGTCCCAACCATTTTTTTTTTTGTGTGTGTGAAAGAGAGAGAGAAAAAGAAAAAGGGGGGAGAGAGTGAGAGAGAGGGAGAAAGAGAGAGAAGGGGAGGGTAGAAGGAGAGAGGGGGAAAAAGGGAAAAGGGGGGAGAGAGAAAGTGAGAGAGAGGGAAAAGGTAAGGAGAGAGGGGGGGGGAGTGACAGGAAGAGAGAGAAGAGAGAGAGAGAGAGAGAGAAAGAAGAGAGGAAGAGAGAGAGTAAGAGAGGAAGAGAGAGAGAGAGAGGAAGAGGAAGAGAGAGAGGGAAGAGAGAGATGAGGAGAGGAAGAGAGAGAGGATGAGAGAAAGGGAGAGAGAGAGAGAGAGGAAGAGAGAGGAGGAGAGGGAGAGAGACTGGGGGGAAAAGGAAGGGTTAGAGGGTCACTTCACAGAAGGTGTGAAATCCTGTATATGTGGCGTGTGTGTTTTGTGTGTGTGTGTGTGTGTGTGAGTTTGTGTATGAGTGTGTGCATGTGTGTGTATGAGTTTGTGTATGAGTTGTGTGTGTGTGTGTGTGTGTGTGTGTGTGTGTGTGTGTGTGTGTGTGTGGTGTGTGTGCATGTGTTGTGTGTGTTTGTGGTGTGTGTGTGTGTGTGTGTGTATGTGTGTGTGCATGGGGCTACAGCTATTCAAGTGCCTAACAGTAGATCCTGTACTCACCTAGTGTGTGTGTGCATGTGTGTATGTGTGTGTGTGTGTGTGTGTGTGCTACATCTATTCAAGTGCCTAACAGCAGATCCTGTACTCACCTAGTGTGTGTGTGTGTGTGTGTGTGTGTGTGTGTGTGTGTGTGTGTGTGTGTGTGTGTGTGTGTATGTGTGTGTGTGTGTGTGTGTGCATGCTACAGCTATTCAAGTGCCTAACAGCAGATCCTGTTCTCACCTAGTGTGTGTGTGTGTGTGTGCCTATGTTTATGTAAGCAGTCCTTATTTCCCACGTATGTACTACATATGTATTGCATATGTACCCGATCTCTTGGTTCGCACTGTACTGTCTTGTGTTTAAAATTACATTCAAAAATAAATACACTAGGCTTCGCCTGTATGCCGCTAACTCTAAATTCTATTAAATGCCAGTAAATGCTGCTTATTCTAATTCTGATAGCTCGAGGAGAGTGACCCCCAATTCCAGCTAGAGACAGGTACTATTGACCCCATGCAACTCAAACTAGGTGAATATTACTTGCGGCTGGCAGTGGAGTAACGTTGCGGGTCTGTCCTGTGTCCCAGTAGTTGAAGATGCTTGATGCTTCTCGGTAATTTTTCCACTAACTTCCTGTATGCACTATAGTCTCTAGCTCATCTAATTTTTTCACTCACTGTATTTACTGACACATCTATACATATCTCTTATCTCCCTGGTCTTGAGTCGCACTTATTCTTCAAAATACCCCACTGCGTTATTATGGCAACACTATTTAGGCCTGACACAACCGTTCACCTTCCTTCCCCGACCCCCACTAAACACTTAGTCACTATTTCCTTTGTTTTCTTTTCTGTGATCACTTATATTTCCTTTTTTCGGGGCTTAAGTGATTATATGCACTCTTATGCATGCACACGCCTATATCCCACACTCTATTCCTTATGGCACAGTCAGAAATTACCACCAAAACACGAGCTCAAACCGTGTGACTCCTCCACGAGTGTGTGTGTGTGTGTACTCGCCTATTTGTGGTTGCAAGGCTCGAATCATAACTCCTAGTCCCACCTCTTCGCTGGCCTCTGCTAGGTTTGCTCTCCCGGCTCCAAGAGCTATATCGTACCTCTTCTTGAACCTATGCATGTATCCTGTCTTTACCACTTCACTCTCCAGGTCGTTAACTTCCTGCCTACTTTAAGGCTGAATAAATACTTCCTAAGGTCTCTATAACTCATTTGCGTTTTCAGTTTCCAGCTCTGCTTTCCTGTTCCTGTTTCTCATCACTCAAACAATCTGTCCTTATTCACCCTATCAATATTTTGTACATTGTTATCATATCTTCTCTCTCCTCCAGTATCATCAGGTTGAGTTTTTCTTAACCTCTCCTCGTAGAACATACCCCTTAGCACCGGGACTAGTCTTGTTGCAGACCTCTGCACTCATATGTGGTTGCAGTGTGTGTGTGTGTGTGTGTGTGTGTTCACCGGCCGGAGTGCAGTCAACAGAGTGGAGGCAGCCTGCAGATCCTTCTGCAGGAGCAGCAGCACTCCCAAGGGAGGAAGATAAATTGATACACTATGAAGGGTGCGCACACACACACACACACACACACACACACACACACACACACACACACACTTACACACATCTTATATCAAACACTGCATGAAAAGAAAATAATAATTTCTCTCCTCCCAGAGGAACATTGCTCAGTTATTTCTAGACTCAGGGCCCAGCATTAATGTGTGTCCAAGACCGACATTTTCCTCAGGGCTCTGCTCAAAGCCACTACCTTCTTCTGCCTCTCCTTTGTTCTCGTGGATGTTTTGTTCTCTCACCAACCCCAGTGAATTGGCCGGATTGTTGACGAAGAGTTCTTGATCGTCACACCAAGGAGGAGCTTTTAACGTGTGGTTGTGCATTTTGTTGTGCGCCTTCGATACTTTTTTGTATGTCATTGTATATTCTGAGTGCAAAGCTATACTCCAGCTTTGTTGTGGAGACGAGAGAAGGTCTGTGTAGAGATGTGCACTCTAGGGACTCTTACTCGAGGGGTAGTAGTGAGTGACCGATTATAACATTTCCCAATACAGTATATGATGGCTCTGAGCCGTTATTATCGAAGTACCATTAGCATTGTCGCTGGAGCAACAGCCTTCTAAATTCTTACCCTCATTTCAACCTCCTGCAATCATTATATATATATATATATATATATATATATATATATATATATATATATATATATATATATATATATATATATATATATATATATATATATATATATATATGCAAAACAACCAATGTGAAAAATAGTGAAATTCCAATCACTTTCGTGACTTCTCACATTATAAAGGAACTACATAGTTCCTTGATAATGTGAGAAGTCACGAAAGCGCTTGGAATTCCACTATTTTTTCGCAATGGTTGTTTGCATATTGTGATATCACCTGTTTACTCTGACCTTATTGTATATATATATATATATATATATATATATATATATATATATATATATATATATATATATATATATATATATATATATGTCGTGCCGAATATGTAAAACTGGTCAATTAGCAAAAACTCATTTAAAATTTAGTCCTTTCTAAAATTTTCTCTTATACGTTTAAAGATATATATTTTTCATTAATGTTGATGTAAAAATTTATAATTTTGCACCAAAAGGAACTTAGAAAACTTACCTAACCTTTTTACAACAAGAGCAATTTATTTTAGCCTAACGCAACTAAATATATTTTAGATTTGTTTACAATAATTTAATACTAAAGAAACACAGTGAAATATTTTTTTTTCGTTAGGTTCAGAATGATTTTGACGAAATTATTGCATACACAAATTTTCACTTGTCCTATATGGCAAGATGAGCGTTGCTATTTAAGCCAAGATCGCAAGTTCTGCCTATTCGGCACGACATATATATATATATATATATATATATATATATATATATATATATATATATATATATATATATATATATATATATATATATATATATATACGTATATATATATATATATTATGAGAAAAAAATCAGGTTTGATGACACGGGAGGATAATCAATTCCTTGGATCAAAAGAGCGTGACCAAGGTCAGAACACTCCCAGGAACAGCTCTCACACACTATAAGTCCAGTAGCGTCATCATGCACAACAATATCTTCTCCAGAGATCTGCTGAAAAATAATCATTAAAAGTTTTAATACAAAAAATATCTTTTGTGCTAATCTGGCTCATGGCTCGTTGCTCTTAAAATTATTATTATTATTATTTCATGTGAAGCGCTAAACTCTACAACATGTACCTGAAACTGGTGATCACTCTAATGAGCCTCGTGTAGTTGCTAGGTTAATAAGACCAGTGAAGTAGCTGCTGAACCAACGTATAATGTATACACACAGATATACAGGTCTCTCAGTGTTTATATGCTTAGAATTTAAGGAATAAAGTATTCTTGTCTGATGGTGAAAAGATTACGAGCTGTCTTAATGATCGTAGTGTGGTCGCTAGGTATTGAACTGCAGTAACCAGGTTAACCTGGAGGCAGCAGCTCAGTGTGTTGTGACTCACTCAGGGAGGTGCATGTGTCTCGTAATTCTCCTGGAAGTTTGTGATTTCTGGTTTTGAAATGTTTATTGTTGTGTAATGTTTTCATTATAGAAAGTACTATTAACAACGTTACGTAATGTGTTCCCACAAATCTTTGGTTTATATTAATTTATGAGACCGTTGTTTATAATGAAAGTACCAAAATTAAAATAAGCTATCTCATTTTAATATTGGGGATGCGCTAAAACCGTTGGGGTCATATACAGCGGCTGGAAGACATTCAGATTTAATCCAAATTAGAAAAAGTCCAGTTCCTTGTATCTAGATCCCCCTCCCTTGAGGGGAGGAAATGAGATCTTTTAATAAAGTATGAAGTCTCATGTCAGTCATATTATTGAAAAATTGCGACACTAAGACTTGAATTGCAGGTGCTGCCATATAACATTTTTTTTTATCCGACAAATATGAGACTTTTATCAGAGATTATCAATATTAATCTGTTTTGTAGGAAAATCTAACCGACGATACGACTTCTATTTCACTTTTGTGGAGCTCCGACCCTTCAAGGGAGGCTGGTGAGGGGCTCTTGATCTAGGGAATTGGATCTGTGCTCCAGTTCCCTGAATTGAGTCTGAATACCTTCCATCCCCCACACAGACGCTGTATAATCCTACGGGTTTAGCGCTTCCTCATGATGTGGAGCTGCTAGTTGGTGTGCTGTGTTGTCATGGCGTCCTACAACTCTCTAGAATTACTTTTATCCCATCCAGGGTTCAGGAAGGGCTGTTGGTCCCAGCAGTAGGAGCTACCCTCCACTTAATTGGATCACATTTGTTATAGGTTTGTTCAAGGTTAGCATAAATTGACCAGGTTCGAATCCGTATGTTCATTCATTGACAGTCGTCCATTACAAGTTAAGAAAATCATCAGTTTTATTAAGTAGTTTTGTCGTGTGACTAACAGATATTGATGGTATCAAAAATGTAGGCGAGTTATATAATACCTTGAAGAGCGTGCATTATCTAACGAACGAAAGGAATGTTTGAGACTGGCTGACAGCGAGGCTGTCTACCTTATGTATTCAACATTCTGATGTTTACTACAGGGTCTTATACTTAGTAGTTTCTCTAAATAATTAAGACCTGTGTCAGAAGCCGCTTGGCCTCTTTCTTTTTCCTGACAAAATAAAAATATTCTTCACATATACATGTAATTATTCGCCGTTATTAACCCTGTAGACGATACCTTTAACCCCCCCCCCCTTAGCGTTTCTTTTTTATTACAATAGTTTACCCCCTCCCCCTTCCTTGACACGTTTAACCCTCCCTCCCTTGCACTGCCTCTCCCCTTCCCTCTCACACTGTCTTCTCCCTCTTTCATACCCCGGGTTTTTACCAGACAACTTTTCTCCACCCAAGCCACTTTTCTCGCCCCATACCATTCACTTATCCACTTCAAGCCCTCCAATTTCTTCACCCCAAACCCTCCACTCGCTACCCAAATCTTTCCCCTCCCATTTCCAATGCACCACCCTCCCACACTATTTTTCCTGTCTTCCACCACCCAAGACGCAATTTTCTCTGCAGGCGTGACCTCTACGTCAGTTATGTTTGACTAACATAGTGGTCTCGTCTTTTCAGTTTTCTGGGATGACCCACCGAGGCAGCATCAGGCAGAGCTACGGTGGTGTGGGTAGGAACCTTGGTGACGCCCTCGCACGCCTACACTGCCGCCCCTTCCTCATCTCTGCTGTGGGCGCCGACATCCACGCCCGCTCCCTCATCGCCCATAACCCCCTGCTGGTGAGTGCAGTATTAAAGAACACTGTTAGTTTTATGGCTTATCGCCTGTTCCTGTATCGTTGAGTGAAATTTACCTGTACACTAACAAATGATTTAATCCTTAAAATATAGTGAAATAACACTAGTGGATTTTCTTCATATTCGTGGATGATATATTTTACAGAATACACTTGAGAGACTGATGGTCATGGACATGTCTTCTTAGCCTAGTAGTAAATATTTACGTACCCAGGATTGAGTCAACTCTTTAGGGTTAAAATCTGAGGAAGGTTAAGGAAAACAAACACATTACTTGGCTTTGAGCTATCCTGGATAAATAATTTTAAGCATGTCTTCTTTGTACAGGATAGTCAAGGCCTGGCGGTGGTGGGTGAAGCCTCTACAGCTGTGTATTGTGTGATGTTGGACCAGCGAGGAGAAGCACTCTTCGGTGTAGGAGACATGAGCATCCACGACTACCTCACCCCTGCCCATGTGAGTTGACCTGCTACCTTACTCCTACATAAGAACATAAGAAAGGAGGAACACTGCAGCAGGCCTGTTGGCCCATACTAGGCAGGTCCTTTACTCTCATCCCACTAACAAACATTTGACCAACCCAATTTTCAATGCTTCCCAAGAAATAAGCTCTGATGTGCAAGTCCCACTCAGATCCAACCCCTCCCACTCATGTACTTATCCAACCTAAATTTGAAACTACCCAAAGTCCTAGCCTCAATAACCCAAGTAGGCAGACTGTTCCACTCATCAACTACCCTATTTCCAAACCAATACTTTCCTATGTCCTTTCTAAATCTAAACTTATCTAATTTAAATCCATTACTGCGGGTTCTCTCTTGGAGAGATATCCTCAAGACCTTGTTAATATCCCCTTTATTAATACCTATCTTCCACTTATACACTTCGATCAGGTCTCCCCTCATTCTTCGTCTAACAAATGAATGTAACTTAAGAGTCTTCAATCTTTCTTCATAAGGAAGATTTCTAATGCTATGTATTAATTTAGTCATCCTACGCTGAATGTTTTCTAACGAATTTATGTCCATTCTGTAATATGGAGACCAGAATTGAGCTGCATAATTTAGGTGAGGCCTTACTAATGATGTATAAAGCTGCAGTATGACCTCTGGACTTCTGTTGCTTACACTTCTTGATATAAATCCCAGTAATCTATTTGCCTTATTACGTACGCTTAGGCATTGCTGTCTTGGTTTAAGGTTGCTGCTTACCATAACCCCCAAGTCCTTTTCGCAATCTGTATGGCTAAGTTCTACATTATTTAACTTATAAGTGCTAGGGTTATGGACACTCCCGAGCTTCAGAACCTTGCATTTATCTACATTGAACTGCATCTGCCACTTTTTTGACCAAGAGTAGAGTTTGTCTAAATCCTCCTGAAGTTCCCTAACATCTACGTTTGAATCAATTATCCTACCAATGAGGAAATGGTATCCTACCAATCTTCGTGTCATCGGCGAATTTGCTCATATCACTAGTAATTCCTTCATCAAGATCATTGATATATATTATAAACAACAACGGGCCCAAGACTGATCCCTGTGGAACGCCACTTGTTACTGATCCCCACTCGGATTTAACCCCATTTATGGACACTCTCTGTTTCCTGTCTGTGAGCCATGATTCGATCCACGAGAGCACCCTTCCCCCAATGCCATGAGCTGCTACTTTCTTCAACAATCTTTGGTGCGGAACTCTATCAAATGCCTTACTAAAATCTAAGTAAATAATATCAAATTCTTTATCGTGGTCAACAGCCTCAAAAGCTTTACTGAAGAAAGTTAATAAATTAGTTAGACAAGACCGGCCTCTTGTGAATCCATGCTGAGTATCATTAATCAGGCTATGCTTATCGAGATGGCTTCTTATAATTTGAGCTATAATTGACTCTAGTAATTTGCCTACAATTGAGGTCAGGCTTATTGGGCGGTAATTTGACGGTAACGACTTGTCCCCTGTTTTAAAAATAGGAATTACATTAGCCATCTTCCACATATCAGACACTACACCTGTTTGAAGAGATAAATTAAAAATATTAGTTAATGGTTCACAGACTTCCATTTTGCATTCCTTTAGAACCCTTGAAAAAACCTCATCAGGACCCGGTGACTTATTTTGCTTCAGTTGGTCTATCTGCTTCACAACCATTTCACTAGTGACTGTGATGTTACATAATTTATCCTCTTCTGGCCCACTATAAAAATTAATTACCGGAATATTATTAGTGTCTTCCTGTGTAAAAACCGAGAGAAAATAATTATTTAAAATTGAGCACATTTCATTCTTTGTCAGTAAGATGCCCATAGTTATTTTTAAGGGGACCTATCTTATCTCTGACTTTTGTTCTATATACCTGGAAAAAACTTTTTGGGTTAGTTTTAGAATCCCTAGCAACTTTAATTTCATAGTCCCTTTTAGCTTTTCTTATCCCCTTTTTAATGTCCCTCTTAATGTCAATATACTGATTCATAAGATGACCCTCGCCTCTCTTGATACGCCTATAAATTCCTTTCTTATGCCCTAGTAGATATTTCAGCCTATTATTCATCCATTTTGGGTCATTTCTATTTGATCTAATTTCTTTATAAGGGATAAATGTTCTTTGAGCAGCATGTATTGTGTTCAGAAAACTGTCATATTGATAGCTCTCTTCGTTACCCCAGTCAACAGATGATAAGTGTTCTCTAAGCCCATCGTAATCTGCTAAGCGAAAATCTGGGACTGTTACTGAGTTATCCCTACTATCATAATTCCATTCAATGCTAAATGTAATTGATTTGTGGTTGCTAGCACCCAGTTCCTCTGAAACTTCTAAATTATTAACAAGGGATTCATTGTTTGCCAGAACTAAGTCAAGCAGGTTATTACCCCTTGTAGGTTCTGTCACAAACTGCTTCAAAAAACAATCCTGAACTACTTCTAAGAAGTCGTATGATTCTTAATAAAGTTAGTCTCCTAGAATTACTACATTATCGTGCCTTGTGGCCCTAACAATTTCCTCCCATAGTAGTCTCCCCTGGTCCCTATCTAAATTTGGGGGACGGTATATCACACCTAAAGTTAATTTTTCATGCCCCTCTGAAAATTCTATCCAAACAGACTCTGTATGTGTTACTTCAGACTTAATACCCGTTTTTATGCAACAGTTCAAGCGATCTCGGACATACAATGCCACCCCACCCCCCTTCCCGATACTTCTGTCTACTTGGAACAATTTGAAACCCTGAATGTGACATTCTGCAGGCATGTCTCGACTTTTTGAATTAAACCACGTCTCAGTAATGGCAAATACATCTATGTTACCTGCACTGGCAACTAGTCTCAACTCGTCCATCTTATTCCTAGCACTGCGACTATTTGTGTAATATATACTTAAGGACCCTCCCCTGTCTTTATCATTCCTGCTCCTTTCTGTTATTCCACTAAACCTATTACTGTCCTTGTCAATTTGTGCCACTGGCTTTCCAATATCCACCTCATTTTGCCTATTACTAGTTCTCCTAGTACTCATGTTACTACCCTGAGACTTCACAGTTTTCCTGCAAAAACCCATACCACTAACTATTCCTAGTTTAAAGACCTAACAGCTCCCTCCACTGCGTTGGCCAGTGCTCCCACCCCACACCTAGATAAGTGAACCCCATCCTTGGCATACATGTCATTTCTGCCATAGAAGAGGTCCCAGTTGTCAATTTATGTTACCGCATTTTCCTTACAGTATTTGTCCAGCCAGCAATTGACACCAATTGCTCTGGACAACCATTCATTTCCAACTCCTCTCCTTGGCAAAATGCCACATATGACAGGTTTCCCACCCTTCCTCCTAATTATCTCTATTGCTGACCTATACCTGCTAATCAGGTCCTCACTCCTACGTCTGCCAACATCGTTGCCTCCAGCACTGAGACAGATAATAGGATTGCTCCCATTACCTCTCATGATGTCATCCAGACGGCTAACAATATCCTTCATCCCAGCCCCAGGAAAACACACTCTCTGCCTCCTACTCCTGTCCTTCAAGCAGAATGCCCTATCCATGTACCTAATCTGGCTATCCCCAACAACAACAATGTTTTTACCTTCCTTGGCGTCGTCCGTCGTGATGCTCCGAGTAGTCGACTCACATTCGCCAGGTAGCATTACACCACTTGTAGAATTCGTCAAGACGTTCTCGATGGTCTTCGTTGGGGTTTCTAGGGATGTCTCGCTCACGTCAGCCAGTGCTTCTTTGGTGCTCGTTGTGGCATTCCCAGTAGAACACTCACATTCGTCGGGTAGCACCGAGAATGGGTTGGAAGTTTCCACGGTAGTCTTCTGGTTTCTAGTTGTTTCTGCCTCTCCAACCGTTTTCTTGATCTTCAGCTTGGTTCCATGTTGCCCGGCCACTGACCAAGCTCCCCTCTTAACCTGGGGACTCACAACAGGAGGATTACTACGAATCCTCTTGTTCTCCTCCGTTAATCGCCGTATCTCCATCTTAGCAACTCTGAGCTCTTCTCTCAGCTGCTGGTAAAGTTGCTCAAGAGAGGGCATCCTGGTTCAGATTCACAGAGAGCACACAAACAGGTCTTCACAGAGCTAAGTACACGTCACCACTGAGCTAAGTACACGTCACCACTGAGCTAAGTACACGTCACCACTAAGTACACGTCACCACTGAGCTAAGTACACGTCACCACTGAGCCTGTTTGAAGAGATAAATTAAAAATATTAGTTAATGGTTCACAGACTTCCATTTTGCATTCCTTTAGAACCCTTGCAAAAACCTCATCAGGACCCGGTGACTTATTTTGCTTCAGTCGGTCTATCTGCTTCACAACCATTTCACTAGTGACTGTGATGTTACATAATTTTTCTTCTGGCCCACTATAAAAATTAATTACCGGAATATTATTAGTGTCTTCCTGTGTAAAAACCGAGAGAAAATAATTATTTAAAATCGAGCACATTTCATTCTCTTTGTCAGTAAGTTGCCCATAGTTATTTTTAAGGGGACCTATCTTATCTCTGACTTTTGTTCTATATACCTGGAAAAAAAACTTTTTGGGTTAGTTTTAGAATCCCTAGCAACTTTACTTTCATAGTCCCTTTTAGCTTTTCTTATCCCCTTTTTAATGTCCCTCTTAATGTCAATATACTGATTCATAAGATGACCCTCGCCTCTTTTGATACGCCTATAAATTCCTTTCTTATGCCCTAGTAGATATTTCAGCCTATTATTCATCCATTTTGGGTCATTTCTATTTGATCTAATTTCTTTATAAGGGATAAACGTTCTTTGAGCAGCATGTATTGTGTTCAGAAAACTGTCATATTGATAGCTCTCTTCGTTACCCCAGTCAACAGATAAGTGTTCTCTAAGCCCATCGTAATCTGCTAAGCGAAAATCTGGGACTGTTACTGAGTTATCCCTACTATCGTACTTCCATTCAATGATAAATGTAATTGATTTGTGG